CGGGTGGGGGGCCGGTGCCGGTGCCTGGCCTAGCGGAGTCCAGGCCCGCTCCGGCCATTCGCAGCAGATGTCAAGGAAAAACCTTCTGCAACCAGTGCGGACAAGTGGTAGGAATTTGCATTTCCACGTTGCAGAATAAGACGTTAAAGTCTCATAATTCAGAGATACTTAGCACTAAAACCGGGTTTAATGAATTATAGCTTGATTCATGCTGGAACTAGGTTTCTTTCTCCTGCAACACTTACTTATAACGTGGAAATGGTGTTATTTTTTGCTACATCACATTGCCGATATCATCATTAACCCTAGTGGCCTTATCATCCACCCGTTTTGCCCCAGGACATCTGGGATGATCACCTGTTCAGCCAGCACTCCACGGAACACCACGCGCCTTAGGGTCTGGGGATGAGCTGAGTTCTTCTTCCATACACCACCCAAGGAACAGTTTAGCCGATTTTGTTCTGTTTCCTCCTCATCCACTCAGCCTAAGGCAGAGTTAGCAGTGGAGTCGGTCCACTCAGATGAGCTCCGCATTAGGTTCTTACAGCCAGAGGCTGTTGCTTGATTTAAAAAAATGTTTATTTTGTGTCCCTGTAAATGCAGAATGTAGCCAGAAAAAAAAATGCAGAGAGAAATTTTTGCTAATCTCTTGAAAGTACCTCACCACATACCACTTCATTCACATGAGGTTGCCTTTGTACCAAACATGCTGCTTTTGCAGATGCCCTTAATAACCAAAAAGAATGTTGTCATTTTTTTAATTGAAGTTTTTATACAAAATATTTTTTCAACATTCTGTATGTTGAGGAAGAAGGACATTAATGTAAACATCTTGTTAAGTGTGTCATGATGCCATTAGACCCACTACCTCCCAAGGCTAATGGCCACTGTGGATATCCTCAATTTAGAGATGTAAAACTTCAATGTGGAGGGGTTAATATCCTCTTTGGGGTCAAGTGGCAGGATTGAAAATAAAAGTTTGACCTATGGTGTGACATTTCATGCATTAGCCTACTCCTTCTTTGAAAGAAAATGCATAGACATGTTAGTTTCCATCATTTGATTAAGACATTACTTCAGGTATGAAAACTAGAAAATCCAGAAAGCAATGTGAACAAGAGCAAAGCAGGTAGAGGCTAAGAACCTTCGAAAGTTAGATAACCTACTCACTGTTTGTTCTCTAGACCAAAAAGCTAGTTGCTTGTTTAGCTAACAATGTCTTCTTAACTGTAGGCAACTAATAGGTGAAATTGAACTTGAAAGTGGCAGAATGCTTGAATTTTACAGGTCGTGTTTCATTCCAAGGACCAAGATGGAATCTAAGAGGGAGATCATTAAATGAGCACATCGATTTGCTTTAAAAACTAGAAGTTTGATTGATAACTCGTAAACCTCATTTTACTATAGATTGAAATTAGGTATATTCTTGACTCTAGCTATTCTCTTAAAAAAAAAAGTGAGGTTAACACTTTTCTGGACAGACCTCATCATTTGGAAGCCCCAGAGGGAAGTGAGAATTATGGTGAGGTCTCCAGGCCTGGTGTGTAAATTTGCTGGTCATTGTCCCTCTGGTGGCATTACCCCAGTGTTGGGGACATGTGTCAAAACCTCAAATATAGCACCAAAACTTCATCTGTAAAATTACAAGATACCTGTTTTCCTATTGTGGGGTTTTACAAATACTTTGCAATTTGAAGAGATTGGTTTGAACCATTTAGGACTTGGGCTGCAATAACAGGAAATTTAACACCAGGAGACTGGGTCATCCACTCACAGATGTAGGACACTCAGCTACACAGCTGACCACTGCAGGATTCTTTAGGGTCTGTGATGGGGAAGTAAGTTTGTAAGTAAGTTGCATGGTGTTCCTTGAAGTGTACAAGTTAATCTTCCCGAAGGTGAAAGGGGTCAAGTTAAGATATGGAAGGAGGATGCTTAATGGGAGAGCTGGGCTCTAGAGCTGCCCCTGATTGTAAGGCTCACAGTTTGATCCTAAGGGGAGGAATCCATTTTTTTTTCTAAATGATTTAAAGGGAGGTTATTCGTGAGTTGCTATAACCTTGGGGTTTCTTTCCTTTCAAGTTTTAAACCTTCTACTTTTCCCCTTATGTATTTAAAGACGTTTTTATTTTCACCTGAAATAGTTTACTTATCATAATCCAGTGTGTGGCTAGTTCACTAGGCCTCTACGTTAATTACAGTTTGTTTCTTATACAGTTGTGATATGAGGAAGTTGTCCTGCAAATTTTGCAGGAGGATTCAAAATGTTTGCGTTGCCTCTTTGGGACAGGGCCTTGCAAAGATCAATCTGCTGGTTAATTCCCACAGTGGGCAGTTCTACTTGAAACATGGTGCTCTGCTGGACATAGGGAGGGAGCTTCTCTCACTGTAGTCCTACCAGGACTGTTCTGGAAACTCACAAATATCAACGAAGTTCACATCTACAGACTGTTGGCATATGCAATTGGAGCCGTAAAAAAATCACGTAGATCCACATAGAGAAAAAAATAAGATCTTGAAGCTGATGGGTGAGGCCCAGGCTAAATAGAATCACAGGAGCAGCAGGTGCCCTTGGCGCTCTATTCCAGGCAGCACTTCAGTAGCCTGCCGGATTCTCAGGCCACCAACAGGGTCTGCTGCCCTTAGACTCCTTTTACGGAAAGCTGAGGCACAGGGAGACTGATCCAGTTACTCCAGTTTCTCTGCTCAGGAGAGCCAGGCTCGAATGTAGTAATTCTGTCCCCAGTCTACCCTCACGCTGTACCTAGTAGAGCAGGAGGAGGCTTTAAGAACTCTGTGTTTGCCCCCAAGGTGCAGCAAGTAAGAGCCACAGAGTCTGGATGGAGAAAATGGTCCCAGACGCTCGGGAATACCAAGGCGTGCCTTCCCTCTCTGCGTATGTGTGGTTCTGAACAGTGTTCAGGCCTCTCGGCCCTTTAGTGAGGAAGGACCAAAGGTTTCATTGTCCCTGCCTTCCCAGAAACAAAGTCCCATTAATTCACAACTGTCTTTTCCTCTGATGGTATAATATGGCTAATAGCATTATGCTAATTGTTTCCAGTTGCTTAGTTTAAAAACACAAGGCCTAACCCAAAGGGCGACTGAGGACAGACCTGGGCGTGTTCGGCCACTAGGGGGCTCCGTTGTGCTGAAGGCGGCTTGGCTGAGTTTATCCCTAGTGACATGAAAGAAGCACCTGCCCTGCCTCTTCTCTTAGGGCACAAGATCAGGGGTCTCCGGGACTGACAAAAACGCAGTACCTCTCTAGAGTCTGGAGCAGAAAGCAGGGAGAGCTGGGCTGAGTTATGGAAAGGTGTGACTCTCAGAGCACGTAGAAACCTTGTTTCATTACTCTGGACACCCTTGCTCCTCAGACATAACAGGAACTTCCGAAGGACATCAGCAGAACTACAGTGTACAATATTGTCTCCTAATATTAGGGGGATTAAATAATTATTTGATGGAAAACTTACCTAAAAAGCAGTAGAGATATAAATATATTTGATGGATCTTGCTCTGATGGCATTTTTACTTAATAGGATTCATTTAAACCAAATGGAAATTACAATTAATTTCAAATTTTTTTATATTTATTTTTTAGTTGTAGCTGGACACAATACTTTTATTTATTTTTATGTGGTGCTGAGCATCAATCCCAAAGCCTCATACGTGCTCTACCACCGAGCCACAACCCCAGCCCCTAATTTCAAATATTTTATATGATTACATAAACACTCCAAATAAGAATATTTTGAGTTGGGAAGTCAGAGTATTAAATAAACACACGTTTTACCACTTGGCATTTTTATTCCGGAGGGCTGTTTGAAAGGAATTTTTTCCTAGAGTTGGCTTTAAGGAAAATTTCAAACATGCCTAAAAGTACAGAGAATGATGGACCCTGTCCATGGTCACCACTGTCTCGTCTCTCCTGCCTGCTGCCTTCTGCCAGCACTGGATGATCTGGAAAAGCGTCCCAATATCAAATTAATTTATTAATAAATACATAAATATTCTACCACAGACGTTCTTTGGGGGAGAGATACATACTCTTAAGTCACGTTAGTAAGTATAGGACAGCCGATGCCTCTTGCCTGCACTGACAGGAGACAGGTTTTCACGACTAAAGCCCAAGCATGGGGAGCACAGCACCATTTCTCATGATGGAAATAAAGTGATTCACTGAGCAACCAGGAGCTCCTGTCTGGCTTCAGTGACAGTGCCTGGCATGGGCAGCTGATGCAGACCGCCCTTCTACCATGGCCCAAATACCCGTGGATTTCTAAATATCACATTCAGATGGGACTCAAGTTTGGAAGATCAGAACTCAAAAAGAATTTCAGTCTCATCCCGAATTCAAAAATAAATGCAGTTGTGTCTTAGGTCAGCTATGAGGTTTAGATGGGTCTGTGCCAAGTGCAGTCACCTGCACGTTGTTTAGTAACCAGAAGCCCAGAGCTGCAGTATCACTGAAATGCCGCTGGATCACCAGCAGAGATTGAGGCCAACTCCTGCAAAGCCATCGGTGAGGGCCACTGCCCACTCCAGCTGTGCCAAG